CATTCTAAACTGCGATCATCTGAGAGAGAGTGATTTCCTGGCATAACGGGTGACAGCGACCCACAGATGCGCCTTGAGGTTTTGCTATAAGGTTCGTGAGTTCATCTTCTATTCCATAGGTTTTAATCCACCTACCTACTTTTAGCTGTTCACGATCGAGGGACAGCGCAGTAGTATGTCCCTGCACAACTCCAGACGATCGACAATCAATGCTAGTGTGTACAGTGCTGCTTGGCACATTTGTGAGAGGTCACATCTCAGGGCATTGTTGTCAGCGTACTCTTAGTCAAGAATTCGATCACCTGGTAACAACTCCACACCTAGGTGATGTCCAATCAATGTAGTTTTCCCGAGTTCGTCGAAGCCGAACTTACAAAGAAAAGGTGATAGCGGGCAACCTTGTCCCACACTGCTAGATGTATTGAAGGGCGGCAACAGGTTGACAAAAACCCCGTGTTATGATCTATCCTTGTCTGTGCGATTCCGGCTTAACTGAACTCGTTCTCCGCTTGCTCCTAATCCTAGCCGGAAATCAAAAGTCGACACTTGGAAGCAAAGCGTGTTGCAGAACAAGCTAATGAACGCCTACAAGTAGTGTGAAATCAACGGACATTTTTTAAAGTCAACCATGGAAGATTCACGTATCAGAACAGCTGTCCTGATTGGTAGATCAGTTCTGCTAGCCAGTGGGGAGCTAAGTACGTGCGTCGCATGGACGCGAACGTTCCTGAAACCATTTGATGTTTCTCCCGTACAGTATTGGCTCACCTTGTTTTCTTATTGAATTAATGAGTTTTCCTAGGAGATTTTACTCTCCCTGATACCCCACTCTCCCCGAACCACGGTCGCACAGCGATCTTATGACGTTTACAAATTTATCCATCACATTTTTCCTGAGCGGAAACTCCAAAAGAACACATCAATCTACCGAATCAAAGGCACCTTTGATGTCAAGGAACACGACTTCGGTTGCTCGACAATAAATGTGGCGTTCCAGTAATTTGCATAGTACGAAAATGTGATTATTACAGCCTTGATTCCGGCAAAACGCGGCTTGCGAATCTAGTTTTCACGGGTGCCATTCAGTCTATGCGGATGCTAGGTCTTGCGTTGGAGCTTGCGAGAAACAGACGAACATCTTGGCACTGGTGCAACAACCGCTCGCTGATATCATTACGGAGACTAGGCCTTGTTGGTCTCCCAGATGAAACTCATCGGTGGACAATTTTCCAACATGTGCGTTCATAGCACGAGTCAGCACGACAGCATCCGTACTTTTACTGCATCTGAAGAGATCGATCAGTTGGTGATAGAAGTCATCTTCCACCATGTCTATGCTACCGTTTGTGGGTGCGTATGCCACAATGATAAACGAGAAGTGTTTAGCTGAGCGCAACTTCGATGCTTGAAACGAGTAAGTCAATCTGACGTCGCATGTCCGGTTGTTGACTGGGATGCAATCCTTCAGAGCAGCTTTAACCCGAAGACTTAAGGCTCTGCCCACACTGGCTTGACAAACCTTTGAAGCTGTCATCTCCGAACAAGCGCAGTGAGAGTGCCGCTAGTGTCGCATGTGGGGGTCGCAAGTTATACACGAAGATCGAATCTTGTAGACTATTTTCTGATAAACATCTGATGTAGATCGATAGGGTCAAGTGTTCAGGCAAGTGCTGCCTATTAGCCCCTGTGTAACAAACTTCGCACATCGTGGCATGCCAATCTTAGCGAGGGTCGAGGGCTCCAACTAAAAACGGACGAACTGACTGTCCACTTGGTTAGACATGGACTTGTTGCTTGGATCGGAGCGACGCCTTGCGATTGTGTGTAAGCTGAAACTAGAAGGCGAACGACTCAAAGTAAGATGGATAAGGCCGAGTTGGGAGGAGGGTTGAATACAGGGGATGAAACTGAAGTTGGAAGTGCACGGTAAGGATGAAAAAGCGCGGGGGTATACGAAGACGGGAGAGTCTGAACAGTAGGGCCCATTGATCATCCTCTGCGGCGGCCAGAGCATCAAGCTACTGTTTATAGAAAAATTTATTGTGTTGCGTAGGCGTGATACTGTCAGGTTGTCATGGCTTATACGGGGGAAGTATTAGGGTTCTCAACCACAGCCTTTAGTTCGAAAACCTGTTAGCAGGGAAATGGTTTTGACACTGAGTCCGTTTCACGGAGTTTCACTTCAGCCCCCAACCTAAAGGGAGGAGCGAGCTGGGCTTCGTCGAAATCGCGGATGTATTTAGCGGCCCACCGTAGCCGTGTTTCTTGGTATCGAGAGTACCTTCGATTCGGCAGATCGATGTGTTCTTTTGGAGTTTCCGCTCAGGATAAGTGTGATGGATAAATATGTAAACGTCATAAGGGCGCTGTGCGCGCGTAGTTCGGGCAGAGTGGGGTCTTTTTTTCAAACTTTCGACACCCTTCATACATCCAGCGATATGGAACAAGGTGGCCCGCTGTCACCCATTCTTTTTAACTTCGTCTTCGACGAATTCGTGAAAACTACCGATTGGACATGACTTAGAAGGTGTGGAGCTGTTTCCAGATGATCGAATTCTTGCTTAGGAGTATACTGACAACAATGCTGTGAGCTTTGATCTCTCACAAGTGTGCCAAGCAGCACTGGACCCATTGGCACTGGTTGTCAAGCGTTTCGAGCTATGCTTAGCACCCTCGAAATGCAATGTCCTTCAAGATTGGCATAGCCCCACTCTTGCGCTGTCCTTTAGTCGCGAACAGTTTGAAGTCGTTGAAAATTAAAGCATTTGGGTAGGTATATTAACACTTATAGAATAAAAGGTGCCCCATTCTGAGGCTGAGGTTGCATTCATGATGCTTCTTCACCGCAGTTGGGCTAAACCAACTTACGCTTAAACTAAGTCTTTTTAAGCTCGATACATTTCATTCCACTTTATTTGGTTTGTTCTGCCTAGTTTAATAATCTTCTATTAACTGCCCACGTTACTTAGGCTAATGGCGTTTATCTTCGATAACTTTGTTACGTTGGTAGCATTTTTATGCAACTTGTGGACATTTTTTCCTTATCGCGAATTCTTTGTTAACCAACTTACTTCATATCCTAATTTAGCGAAGAGTTATGTCACCGTATCTGTATGCATTAGTCGATTTATTCTATTTCACCTTATCTTTTCAACTGATTGGCTGTTGCTTGACATCCCCGGTGCGGGCTCCGCTTGATGTGCATGTCGACAAGGTGCCTACCTGTCTATTACTCACTACCTCGTCCATACTGGCTCCAGGATACAGTTGGTCGTTGCTGGAGGGGACGGGGTGCACAGTCCTTGTGGCCGTGCTAGGCTCGAAGAGCGGTTCCATGCACTCCGTGTGTAGCGGACTGCGGTCCAGCCACCGCCTTGTGTGCGGTTGATTCCCCAAATACAGCGTGCTTGTGTTTGCCTGTGAAGGAGTGTGGGCCGGCTCCGTTGATGAAACGTGGCTCCCATCCACATGCCTCCCGGTCTTATTCCTTAGGTTTACACTGGATATAGGGTGTGTTTGGATGGAGCTGTGTGTGGTGCAGCGCAAGCCACCCATGGTCCCTCTGTAGGTGCAGGCGTCCTGTGGCTGGCCACAGTGACAGGCAAATCCGAAACCGGATGCCGCCAACCATGGAATAGAAGATGAGCTCACGAACCTTATAGCAAAAGCTCAAAGCGCATCTGTGGATCCCTGTTACTTGTTGTGCCAGGACGACATCACTCTCTCCCTGATGAGCAGAGTTTCTAGTGCAACCGTCCATTCAACCCTCCTGTTCGATTGTGAATCCTTGCCCATCCGATCGACAGATGTAAAGAGATTAGTTGAGCTCGACCATCCTTACCTTCGCAGTTTGTCTCCTGTCTGGTAGGAACGCCGTGTGGGAAACGAGCGTGTTTGCCGTCTCATATTCGAGGCAGGAAAAGTGAGTGAACAGCTCAGAATGGTTATATCACGCATCAGGCTCCAATGGCTGCACATGCCAGCACACGGACTCCCGCAACGTGCGTTATTTGCGCGACCGGGATTTAGATGAAGGAGGGCCAAGCAACGACCTGGTTAAGAGTAATGGAGACCGTCACTTCGAACTTGGCGTCGGTTGGGGTCTCCCGACTGCTGGACAGGGGTCCCAAAGACGATGGAAGCGTTAGGTTGAATACACTATTTGATAAGCTGAAGTATCGGCCTCAATGGCATTTGTGTTGTGAGTTTTTTCGTTCCTTCCCTTCTGCTTAGCTTCCCCTGCATAGAAGACTCCACACTCTGTTTATAACGTAATGATCGTTATTAAATGTTTTCACGGTTTTCAATCTGTAATATCTTTTTTATCTCGCTTTTTCATACATATTATCTGTTTGTACTGCAGTACAATGTCTGAGGGGTTTTTCTTACTATGCAACGTGGGAGTTGGAGGCTGAACTGACTGATTCACCGAATGATACTGCCTACTGTATTGGAGCTTGACTTATTAGTTGAAGTTCAGTGAAAACGATGATTCCCTTTATATTATCTCCAAACGGTTATACCTTAATGCTACCCTGACTGGAAATTGACCATTTGATAGAAATGATAGCGATATGTCTTCATGGTGGTTTTCGGGTACTGGATACTGGCACAATCAGTCATTGACCATCTAGGCCAGTTCGATCCACTGTTGATAATTACAGCAGAATATGTATATTGTTGTTATCAAGTTACATAATAATACGCGTGAAGCAAGGGAGTTTAGGTAGACCTGTATGTCTGAGAACAAGTAAGGAACTTGACGGCACACGGCGTCTCGGTTCACAACGGATCTCTGAGAAAATGAAGATTAATGGTCCATTAGTATATGCACGCAACCTCGATCTACATTCTCAACACTCCTTGCGCTTCCATTTGAACCTTACTTTCTGCTTTAGGTACGTCGCACCACTTTGTCTCCGTTTGAGGTCGTTCTACCTGCTTAAATTATTACATTCTCTCCTTTGCGGATGCTCACATGTAGCCTATCCAATTTTCAGGTCCAATGAATGGCTCATCAACTGTCATCAATTGACATGCAATCGATGCGAGGCCGTACCACCTGCTTATAACCAATCGGCCTTCCCCCTTACCGGTATTTGGTTTCGTCTTTGTTAAGCTTTCTCCATCCCCTGATCTACCCCGCATTTTCGTCTACCCTTTTGGATCAAGCGAGCCGTTAACACTTGCCACACAATCCGATTGTTCGACTCTGAAGCGCCAGCTGACATCCTGGATCGTTCAGGAACAGAACCGTTGCCTTCTGTGGCGCGATCTAAGGTACACCACCCCCCGTTTTACCTTCTCGTAAATGCAGAACCTTGAATTCCTTGCTTACATAGCTAGTTTCCACTCTCGCTCGCTAGCGTCCGCAGTGATCCTGAGATAAAGCCTTCCACATCACAGGTGTTTCGTCCATAGTTCGGACCACCACCGTTGGATGTTAATGGACCGAGATGTTCACTCAGTGTTCTTCCTGATGATTTGAGTGGATCCATAACTGATCGATTCTGCTCAGTTATCTAGTTTCCATTTCCTTGTATCGCTCCATTGTGTGGTGTTAGTTCTCCGTTGAGACAGAGGTTCAGTTTCGCACAGATTTTCACCGGTACCCACGAATATCTTTGGTTTATTGTCACCAGATGGTGTGTTCTCCGGGCCGTTTTATACCTTAGTCATAGTCGGAATCTTCACGAATATATATAGGTACGTCTTTCAAGCCATCGCTCTTATGCGCCCCTTATCCGATTGTATGGATTGGTGTCAAATCAGAGGCTGAGACTGCCCCATTTTATCTGGACTCATTTTTGAAGCGATCGTTGATTTTCTGCGTTATGGTATTGCACACCAGATTTATTACTAACAACCTCCACAGTCATTATCCCATTCTCTTTATCGTTTTTCGTTGCTTCAGTTGCGGGTCCAAAACCACATTCCGATTTCTTTGTCCAAAAACCGGCTTGACTGTATTTCATTGCGAAATCGTGGATTCCAAACTCAAGAAAACAAAGCAATCAAAACGCCAGGTGGCAAATCCTAAGCCTGTCATCGAGGCGGTCTTTCTGGTTCCATTCGGACATAACAGGTGGGAGTCGTAAGTGTATCGCTCCTGATGCATATTTTAGGCAGTTGTTCGGTTTGTTTGATCGGGCAAATAAGTTCAGTTTAATTCTGTTGATTCTGTCATCCTAGCACCGAAGTGGGATGGATTCCATTGCCATGACTGACATTAACATTAAATAACAACAGCATTATAGTGGGGTTAAGTGCAAATAGAAAGTAGAAACAAAAAGGAGGTACGTTAGACTAATCAAAATGAAACGAAAATTAACAACCAGATGCAAGCGACTAAATGTATAACTACCACTGACTGTGTGACTGCACCATGTCTAAAACGGTCTCTAACCATTGATGTGAACCATCCCGAGGCTCCCATTCAGAAAGACGGCACGCACCAGCCTGACCAAGTCTCTCAGTCAGTTTCTTCATGCCTGTATGCCACGTCATGGGCTGGCCATCTCACGGTTTCGCCCACCTTGGTGTAGCCACGACGTATAATGCACGCTGAGAAAGCCGGTCAACGGGCATACGGAGGACATGGCCTATCTAACGTAAGCGATTAAGATTCAGCAACCACTCGAGTCATGCACCAGCAGGCTTCTTGCGAAAAACCAACTGGCTGACCTCAGCATTGCTCATCTGGTGTTCCCACCAGACGTGAGCAATACTTCGCAAGCACAGGTGGTCAAACAGGTTCAAGCATTTAATCTCTTAATCGCAAACTGCCCGTCTCTTACCCATACAGTAAGACTGGCCTTGTCGTAGCGTTATACACCCCATCTTTCACAGACAGGCTGGTCTTCCGCCGTCTCCGTAAATGGTTGAGTCTCTGGAAAGCCACACCGGGCCTTGCCGATACGCGAAGTAACTTCCCCAGTGATTTCATCACCAGAGGTGACACAGCTACCAAGATAAGTGAACCGATCCACCACTTCCAGTGGATGTTCGGTGATAGCCGGAACCGGAGATGTGTCGGTCCAGTCCTGCAATACTGCAATACTACTTTTCAATCTGAAGGTGCAAAGCTCATGCCGAAGCGTGCGGTTCTACGCGTCAGACTATGCATTAAGGTTTGAATAACCACTGCGTCGGACCCAAGAAGCGTTATGTCGCCCTCATATTCCAGGTTTGTTAGTCAGTTACCTGGCAGAACTTCCACTCCGGTAGATTATGAAAGAACCGACCCTTCCATGATAATTTCCATCGCAGTTAACGAAGAAAGGATATACGGGATAACCCTGGCGATTCGCACTCATCGTGAAGAATTCAGGAGACAGTTTCCCGTAGACCCTTACACGGCATCGGGAGTCACGGTAGAGGCTTCAGAATGGAAAGGAATTTAGCCGACACGCCCTTCATGGATAGGCAATGCCAGCAGTTGGCGCAGTCAACTGAGTCGAAGGCGGCTTTCAGGTCAAGGAAAAGCACGATAGTCGGTCATCTGTGGGTGTGTCTCTGTTCTAACACTTGACGAATAGTAAATATGTGATCTACACAACTACAACTAGGGCGAAAGTCAGTCTGCCTTTCAATGATTCGGTTCTCACGGGGACCATACAGTTGTCGCCATGATCGCCATGAGAATTTTGGAGGCAACTGGAATAAGGCTAATGCCTTGATTTTCGTACAAAGTAAGGTGACCATTCTTCAAGATGGGCACGATAGTTGACAGTCGCTGGTTTGAAGGTACCTCTGCTGTGTTCCAAATCGGGTTAAACAGGGAGCGGGTCCAGTCAACAAAGTGTCACCACCGTCTTCCAGCAAAGATGGAGAATGGTCATCGGGCTCCGGAGTCTTGTTTCGTTTCACCACGGAAAGCTCATACCGAACCTTTTCTAAAGTGGGGGCTGTGACATCAACTTCCTGTAACGGTTACCAAGGTCGCATCGGGCCGCGATGATTGGCCGATCAAAAAGTTAAGGTCACAGATACAGTGTAATGGCCGTCAGACACGAGATAATTACGCAGCGCAGGGTACCGATATTCATCTGTTCGTAGCAACTTTCCTGTTCTCTTCTATTATTTACTTACCAATAATATTGTTAGATTGTACGAGAACATTTTTTGATCAACCAATGTGATTATTCTACTTGATTTCTGCAAAAAGGATGGAGTTTGATCCCTTTAGGTTTCACTGATCCCTTCGTTAGAAGGTGCTCCTTCTAACACTTCCCACGCCTGGTAAGGTGCTTCAACAAGCGGAAGTCTTGCCGCAGGTCTGCTGCACTGCTCTTCAAAATCTTCCGCTCAACAGGGCTAGTCAGCGAGTCTGAGAATGGATCCACTATCCATCTTTTTCAGCTATTTTTCGCTAACCGATGGCTTTCTTGTTTCAAATATTCTGTTGTAATTTCACCAATGCGTTTTGGGGCACCCTTCACGTGTTTGGCTTGTTGCACACAATCTCAATCGGCGTCAAAGCTGACTTTTGACTTAGGCTCGGCCATTCCGACCGCGCCCGAAACGAAAAATTTCGTTTTCTAACACTGCACTCCAAGACCGATTTCGTCTTCGTTTGAACTCTTCATGTCGATGGTTGGTGTTACATTGCGATCAAGAAGCCAACCTTTTGCATATCCACCCCAAAGGTCGTTTGGGAATTACAAACAACTACTAAGAACTACAATTAACCGCAACCTTGCTGGTCAGGGATTCGTCCGTCTGAATCGTTCACCTGAAGTTTGGTGTATTCAGAAAGGCTGTCAGCTTTCTATTTCCTGATAAACCGAGCCCGAATTGTTACCTTTCGGCTTTCTAATGCTCATGTGTGTTATATGATGTAGTGTGATAGCGCAGGTGCAATGTCGACCCGCTCTCTGGAGACGGTTAATGTAGGGTGGAAATAACAGACTCTGGAAGAGCATCTCAGTTGTATCAAACGCGTAGCGAGGAATTCCTTTCGTACTCCAAGTGGTCCTACCAGTTTCAGACGGCGACCTATTGAGCTGTTGTTAAGTCTAAGCATTAACAGGTTGTAGCACGCGTGATTAGAGTCGCTTCGAATCTGGTAAACAACACTAAGGTTCCCACGCAAACGCCTATATTGTCTCCTTAAGAACCCCAGCATTTTCCTTTGCTCGATGCACTTTTGCTAACCTTCGCCACCTATGGCACCAGCGCGGGGTCACTCTCTTTCTGAAGAGTAGAATTTACAATGCCGCTATACGTTCGACCCTACTGTACTGTTGTGAATTGTGGCCCCTTATATCGGCAGACGAAGAAGTCAGTTATCTTCGAACGCCGGTGCCTTCGCAGTTTGGCTCATATCTGGTGGGGTCACCGTGTGAGCAATGTGCCTGTTCGGCGCTTGTTTATGGCGCAGAAAAAGCGAGTGAACCGCTCAGCACCGTTACCTCACGCATCAGGCTCCGATGGCTGGGCCACGTGTTGCGCATGCCAGCACACCGGAACCCGCGACGTGCGTTATTTGCTCGCCGGAGTGTTGATGGAAAAAGAAGAGGGGAGGCCAAGCGATGACTTGTTCAAAAGTAATGAAGGACCTTAGTTTCAATTTGGCCTCGAATGGAACCTTTTAACTCCTTGGTTGAGGCCCGAGGGGCGATGAACACGTTTGGTCGGATACAGTTGTTGGCATGGCTAGGAACCGACCTCAGTGGCGTTTGTGTTGCGAGATTCTTTGTCCCTGACCATCGCGCTTAACCTCCCCTCCAACCACCATCTCTCATGCCTGACACATAATATAACTTTTTTGGCATAATATCCGGCTGGTTGCTTTCCGGAACGACGTTAATGGTAGCTCAGCTGGTATGCTTCTGTTATGTCTTATTTTCCTTTATCATGTATTGTGGCACAGTAACCGAGGTGTTACGTACCTCTAGCTAACGTCTATAAGGATGATGACGACGTTCATAGGGCAAGTTGTACATACCGTTCTGGAATTTCCGAAACGGTGAAATCCCGCCGATGTCCAGAGCGGAACACAGGACGCAGTAATTGACAGACGACACTTTAATAAATAAAAAATTGATCATCGCAAGCACTCCTTAGCGTATGGGATACTACAGGTGTAATATATTTTAGGTCCGGGGTTCCAAGCCCTTCCGTGTCCAAACAACAGGACGGGCCGTAATAGACCTCTAGGGCTGCAACACAAAATAAATACCTTGTAGACAGCTGGATGCTCATATCACAACCGTCTAGCAAGAGGCTTATGCAAGGGAGGCAACAAAGGAAGCATGGAAGAAGGAAGGAAAAAGTGCCGGAGAGGAATAAGAATGTAAGGCTAGAGAAAGTAACACTCATAGACCTATTACCTTTTAACATGTTATCTTGACGCCCGCGGACCAGCTAAAGGGGTTCGTTGCTTCTCCGACTATCTCAAGGTGGAACGTCCGGCAAGACAGAAATCGATCATGATGTCTTTGGGGCGAATAACGCTGAATGAATTTGTTGAATACGATCCTGTTATCTTTCTTTTGCCTTGGTTCCGCGTTGCATGGAGTCGTGAAGGATAACTTCAGTGATATTCACTGTGTCAAATGAACCAGGACGACCTGTAACACTGCAAATGATGTCTAACCTGAGTATATTAGCTAGAAGCACGTATCAGCATAGTTTAAGTGGGTGACTCCGTTGAAGACGCCATGCACCCGAACGCGCACACCGTTTGAGTGTCATCGGGTTACCGGGTCAGTGCTTTTCACTTTTTGCGCAGGTGACACACCACTTCTTCTCATCTTCTTGTTGGCTGTTAAAGCACCGCAGCAGTTGTTTCGCACTGCTGTTGAAGTCACGTCACTATCATACTTTGGACTACGAGGGTAGTTTCACAAAGGAAAGAACAAGTGCTTTCGGAACCGTATGGATATCACGAACGATCTCGTACTAAATTAAAAGCTTACGGTCAATCTCATCCATTACTTTTTCTATTACAGTGGAGAGCGGACACAGAACTAGTGAGATTGGTCTTGTGACCAAATTCTGTCGTCACTCGAGCCAAGGAAGTTGGCCAAGACACGTAGTTTGTACACATGGCGCAGTCCCAGCACTTGGTATTGCAAACGGCTGTGCAACTCATTCTGTACCGCGTTGGAAAAATTTTGCATCCCACTTAATGGATTCTCATCTAGATCGCGTAGTTTTGCCTACAGTATGCTTCCTTTATCTTTCCATTTTGGCGCTTAGATGGGGGTTCAGTAGGCCTCATTTCCTTCATAGGTAATGTTTTCGGTCATTCTATAGTTCCAATTCGTTAGTACGTCATTTCCATGCTACACTGCACCCATGACTGCCTAATTTGTGCAACCCCGACACAGCCTATGGTGGATCCATGTGCTCTGGTACTTTTTTCCATGCTAGTGGCGATAATAAAGACGGTGGAACAAGAGAGAGTGAAAACGATGGCGGCGCCCCGTGTTTCGCATGCCAGCTCACCGATTCTCGTGACGTACATAGTTGGTGCGATTGCGGTCAGGATGGAAGAAGACAAGAGGAGACCAAGCAATGACATAGACAGGAGGAATGAAGTGCCTCACTTCGAACTTGGCGTCGGTTGGTGCTTCCGGACTGCCGGGTTGAGGTCCGAAAGACGATGAGCACGTTAGGCTGGATACACTGGTTGACCTGACGAAGAGCCGTTCAATGGCCTTGTGTTGTGAATTTCTTTATCCCTCCCCCGCTTGTCTTCCTTTCCAACTGCATTCTCATGCCCGATGCATAATATGCATTATTCTACTTGTTTTTTTATTCGGTGTTCTGTAATATCTACTATCTTTATTTTCATTTATCTTGTATTTTCTTAATATGGCACAATAGCTGTGTTTCTCACTTTTAGCTAACATGTAGTGTTATTGATGATGTACTAGTAAAAACAGGACAAACCACGTCAAAACCTGTACACAATGGTGGATTTGGGATGGCAGTCATTATACTGTCTGTCTTTTTTCTTTCCGTTGTATCTGAGTCATTTCTTTGTTTTACAGCGGCCTTCATATGAACCACTTGTTATGAGCTCCGTCTAAACTTCCAGCACTGCTGCAAACTCTTGAAGACATGGCCCGCAACCGGAATCATTGGAAGAATTGTGTACAGTGTTGTGTTGATTCACATGTTTAATTCTACAAACATTGAAAATGACAAAAAAGAGAAAAATCGGCGTGTGACAAACAAACTAACAATGTTTTGTTCTGTATTTTTGTCAAAATATTCCATTTTCTTGCGGCATATTAGCTGAAGTGTGTTGCCCACCTTCAGCTAGCATGCCACGACGATTATGACGCAATGACTGTCTTTTATACACTGATTTCCATGGCTTTCTTGGCTCTATGTCTAGTTACTAGACTGTTGAGATTACATACATACATACAAACCCCGTTATGGTGTACCTTTACCTCACTTTCAGTCAGCTATCAGTAGCGTTGACTATTCTCTTCGTTCGTCACGTCGCACTGTCTCCCATTTATACGTTACTAATTTACCCATTGACGGTTTATTCAGCCTGTAACTCCAACTCTTCTAGGCTATTTGCAGTTCGTAATGAAACATTCATTTATTGCCGCTACCCATCCCCAATTATTCTGTCATCTTTTTGTTGCACAGGAGTTCTCTGTTTTGTTGCGAATCAAAACGGGCTTCGTTGTGCTCTCGGTTGAATCTCCGGTGCATATTATTAGCCTACTTTAACCCGCGTTTCTACTGTCCGGACTTGGATTCGATGAAGGAACAACTTTGCGAGGTTTTCACTTGTATGGGCTTTTCAGGCAGCATAGAGAAGGTCAGTTATTTTCCTACGTTATGTTTGACCGTTTTCCAGTGTATCTGCCCACCTCTGCCTGTATCATAAGGCAGAAAGAAGGAAAAACCTAAGCAGTACGGCGGTGCACTGTACCGACACTTCGCTGCCACGTGACCACCATCAGTAGCGTCAAGGCCGGGTCGCCCGCACCTACGTGGATTCGAACCGCCGACCTCAGGATTACAATGCAAACGCGAAATAATTTCGGGCACCGGCCGATCAGTGTTATCACATTATTGTCACTTCAAATATCAGTCACTTGTCTTTCCGTTCAACTGTAGCTTCATCATCGTTGCTTGCGTAGACGGTCATTGTTCCCTCTCATACCACCATTCAGAAGTGAACGTTTCTCTCTATTTTGTTTCGAACTCTGAAAGACACCTATGTTCCCCAGCTAAGCATCATGTTTACCATAAACATTGACACCATTTTCGATTGCTGTTTTAGAGGAGTCAGTTAAATCTCATAGTGATGCTGCGGCAGACGTCATGACAATTAGCAGTCCAATGCATTCTATTAACTGAAACCGTCCACTTCTTTTTCAATCTAGTATATCTGCATGTGACTGCTGCATGACATTAAGAACTGCATCCATTCTAAGTTGTTTCATCGACTGAATGTGTGCCGTGAATAACGCTAACTAATCATGCCGGCGAAAGCATACATGGTTGGCGGCATCCGGTTTCGGATTTGCCTGTCACAGGACGCCTGTACCTACAGCAGCGAATGCAGCGTGCCTACAAACGCTGCGCCGGTTCTGCCTACGTTCTCTGCAGGACCCGTCGTCGCTTCGGTAGTGGTGCCGAGTGGCCTCGTTCATGGCTCACTAGGCCTGCCTGACTCAGGCACTCGCGACCGCATGTGCTACAACATCATACGCTCGATGTCGATGGAGTACAACCCATTATATATATATATATATATATATATATATATATATATATATATATATATATATATATATATATATATATATCTTTTGACTATTTGAAATGAGTGCTCGGACCTCAAGAGAATGCATTCGAGCCTCCTTGCTCATCATCAGTGGGCGACGAATGGTGTCACGCCCACAAACGAAACGATCTGCTTACTAAGCCATTCACCATCAAACAAACAGTACCGAAGTGTTCGGATACTTTCGTCGACACAAGTTAAGATCCAACAGTTATCATTCCGCGGTCACTCGCGTTGGAGTCCCACCGGGAATTAATATCATTTGAACAATAGGACTATTTAACGCTTTGTTCATAAACCGATATTTTGCCCATGCCTCAGCAACCCACCCCACCCCACTTTGCCACATCGACTCAGAGCTATGTGCAACATAATTAAATGAAACGCATTCAGCTATATCTGGTGGATCACAGTCAGTTGATATAGGGGGAATTAGCTTAGTGGCAGACGCTTTCCCACACATTATTCACTCCTAATCTTTAACAAGGACCGTGAATATGTTGCATTCCTCGCTTTTTCGTTTAGCAATAATGACTGGCTCTCTCTGGTACATCGAGAATTCCTCTATTTCGGTTGGTTAGTAGATATAGATCACAGCTTCGTCTTCTACTTCTACAGCTATGAGTAAAACCCATTTCCGTGAACATGACCAGTCTTGTGAAACCCTATTGTGTTCCGCTTACCTCGTTCTAAAAGCTTTGACCCAGCTGTTCATTTGTTCTCCGATGAAGATCCAATCAAGATAAAGCATCAGTGGAACAGCAAGTATCTCTCCACGTCATAACCTTTTCATGTAACCAGTCAAAATCAATCTAGTATCAGTGAGTACATACATGAACAGCCAATCAGAATGTAGCGCATTTAATATCGCGGATCATACATATAAGGACCGGCACAGTAATTGGTTCCATCCATCCCTGGATCTACATTGTGTGGTGCACTCCTATTGAGGAGTATGAGCGGAAACGAGGATACGCAAGGAAATCGGAGAAATCGTGAATCGCTGCAGACGAAAGGAGCATGGCGCACAAATCAACAAGATGCGTTGTGAATGAGGAGACGCAGCGGAACGGAGAGTCGGAAAGGTACCGCGAAGGAAGTGCGCAAATGGGCCTTAGTTTCTATATTCGTACTGTTATATCTAGACACGAGTTTTCTACTGCATAACTCATGTGCGCCGCGTTGCGTTCTCAAGATTTTCGCTATCAAGCTACTGCCAACTGCACAGATGATGTCGCCTCGAGTGGTGGCGAAACGTCTGTAACCAACTTGCCAAGCTCAGCGAACAAAAGGACAGCTAAATCATCAACCCATGTTGCCGGTATTCCGAAACATTTTAAGCTTTTGACCCGTTGGCCTTGAACGAAGACTTCGGTCATTGTCCTATTTGAATCTGGATTCCCCCGTCCTACAAGTTCAGCACATCCTACGTCAACCATTGCGCAGTCTCGTTTGGGCTCAGTCTAGTTCGGCTGAACACCTTTACTTTCAGCAAGTAAATTGGTAGATGCAAGAGTACAAAAGGGTCACCATATTTCATGCGTACATTGAAACGATGTGCGGATTGGCCCCCTCTTTCTTTTTCCCTGTTCCTTTTGCAAGCTTAATTTTCAGCTTTAAAACCAACATCTGTATTGCAACCGGAGTCTTATCCTCATTGATAATAACCTACTATCATGAACCGCTCACCAATAAGTGCTGCTCGATCCAGCCGGATGCGTTCAGGGTGCATACCCTGGAACGTGTAGGACAACAGGCTGCACTCACACGAATGCTATGTACTCGGTCTATCAATGTTCATTGGGGTTGAACAGTAGCGAAGCATCAGAGCAGATGGCTGATGTACAGCCGTTGTTGTTGTTGATGCAGTTCTACCTTTGTTTCCGGTTCTTTTTTTGGTGACTTTATATCGCTGCCTTCGCAACTTAGCTCATGTCTGGTGGGAGCACTGCGTGAGCTATGAGCGTATTCGGCGTCGCCTATCTGGTGCAGAAAGAGCGGGTGAACCGCTCAGCACCATTATCTCACGCACCAGGCTCGGATGGCTGGGCCACGTGTTGCGCATGCCAGCACACCGACTGCCGCGACGTGCATTGTTTGCGCGCCGGTGGTATGATTGGAAGAGGAGGAGGGGAGGCCAAGCGATGAGAGAAATGAAAACCCTCACTTCGAAGTTGGCGTCGGGGTCCTAAGGACGATGAACACGTTTGTCTAGACACACTTGCTGATATGGCTAGGAGCCGGCCCCAATGGCGTTTGTGTTGTGTGTTTCTTTGTCCATCCCACTCCATTTTATATTCTCCCTCCATTTCCCAGCTCCTATGAGTTGCATAATATAATATTTAACATCTTATGACTTGCTTTTGAATATTTTTTGTGCATTACATTTTTGTATTGCGGCACATTAGCTGAGGTGTTTCTCACCCTCATCATCGTCAATATGATGATGATGGTGGCGTCGCCCTTACGAACTACTGACATGCTGCTGTCATGTGATGCGTGTGCTCGAATGTGTTAACAAAGTTTGTAGCTTATGGTAACTTTCGTTTGACCCTCTATGGGAAATCGTCTCGACAGTGCGAGACACGCTTGAATGGGTATGTTCATGATGATACAATAAGGACTGGTAACTGTAATAGAGGCAGTGAGACTTTGGTTCACAGTAGATTCTGTTTCGATGTGAGTACATTGCACCGTTGACACCTCCAATTTGCTCGGATCCATATGTTATGTGGCAGAGCATCATGGATTGATCCAAAGATACTGTTATATATTTTGGATGAAGCTCAGCCACATCGGAGACCAGAAGTACTGTGGCGTCACTATCGCGCACTCGAAGGAAATCTAACATTACTTCATTCGTTTTAAAGATAGGTCCGTCATGTGACCCTTTCTCGTTTCCACGCTTACATCCCTTGTTACTGGCTTACTAATATGCACTGGAAACACGAACTCAGCCCGCTGTTCTTAATTGCCGTTTCCGTTACAGGGAAACTTAATCGCGACACCAAAATTCACCCGAGTAGAAGACCTGCAGCTTCATCATTCGAATTTCCAGGAGGATTTGGTCCCATGAAAATGAGTTGACACTTGAATAGCGACAATCAGCATCTTAAGAGTGCAAACTCTGAGAGCGATGCCTAGGTGGCATACTGCTCTGAACAATAATTAGAGATTTTCTCGGTTGCTTTCTGATTTGCTTCATTTTATCACCTCAGATGAATTCTTAACGCCTGATACCCGATTTTTGTAACGTGTATTCTTGCCTATGACCTCACTGATGATGGCATAGGATTTCTCTTTATGGAACAATAGCCATTAGCATAGTACATGGTGGCGCATACTATGTCAAACTCTTCTACGGTTCTTCTTTCTTTTCACAATAGTCCCCCATTCTATGTACTCCTGATGGCTTCGTACGACGTGAAGTGTTCTCTCCTGTTCCACTCGGTGTGCGAACTGGGTTACTTGTGGATGAAATAGAAGTCCATTCGATGGAGGACAACAGAGGAGTGTGTCTGATGAAGCGACTGGTGGACACCGCGTCGGACTTCAGACCAGTAGTCACCACAGCTATCTCAGAGACGGGGTTTCTCCATTCCTTATCTTCGCGTGATCTCCATTTAAGTCTGTGGACTAAGTTGATTCAAACCGAGTGCACCCATGAAAGCAAGCTGCTGCATTGTGGGTTTCCTCTGCTGACACCTGACGATTCTTCCGTACATTTCGTCATACCTGCGTTGGACCTTGGCGACGTCCGATATTCTGAAGTATACTTGGATAAATGCTATGCATTTGAGGACCAACCATCCTCCGGTTTTCATGTATCTTGGCTGCCTTCTCTTTCCGAACTTTCAGGTAAGTTTAGGCAAAAACCATTTTTTCTCTTCTCCATCTTTGTTCAGAGTCTTCTGTTCTTTGCATAATTATGGTTCCATTGTCTTGCTTAGTCCCACTGCTATATGTGGTTGCACAATATAATCTACGGTTTTTGTTCACTTCTTTTTCAGACGACACGTTTGATGCCATTTTCTACGACCCTGTTCCTTTTCTACTTTCTGATTATCTGCGATCTTTTTCTACAGAACAATTACAGACTTTGTCGAACGTCTGTAATACACATTTACTTCACCACGGTAAGTCGGATCGACGGACACTTTTGAGTACAACAAGTCAATGACGATGTTTTTTAGTTTTTTTCCTCGGAGTCTTGTTTTTAGTATCAACTATTTGTGTAGTCATCACACGAATGTTCTGACAGTACTTTGCAATAGGCCTCATTAAGTAGAAGCAATGGTGCCTGGTCGAGGTGAACCTGCTTTTGGATTCGACATCAGTTGGTAGAGAGCTTTCGGTGTTGCTCGTCTCAAACACTGCACGATTTGTTCCATCCCTGTATTGACTGACTAGATCTAGATAGCCACACCCGGTTTGTTGCCTGACGCATTGATCACTGGTGTGCTGTAGCCCTCCAGTTGTCAAACAAAGTCTGAGTAGCGATCAATATCCGATATTTGTAAAGCAAAGCATGGTTTTTACTGTACATAAGTGCGGCGTGCTATTTGGTCACAAAGTCTTCACACCGGTTACTTTTCATTTTTCCGTCCTCCGCGGTTTGTATTTGGTGGTGAACTACAAGCATCGTTTGTCCCCGCGCGATTTCTAAGCTTTAAACGAGTGAGCCAGTCTGACGATGCACATCTGGCTGTTCATTGGGATCCAGTCGACTAACACAGCTTCAGCCCAGGAGCTCAAAGCACAGACCTCAAGTCTTACATGCAAGTTTCCGATAAGCAGCGGATACCGACTGAAATGATCTCAAATGTTCGGGCAAATGTTGTCTGTTGACCGAACTGCAATGAAGTGCGCGCGCTGAAGCATGCCGGTCTTAACGAGAATCGACGGTCTCGAACAGATAGGGACGAACTGACGTTGTCCACTTGATTAGATATGGACTTGTCGAGTGGATCGGAGCGACGCCTTGCGATTGCGTGTGAGCTGAAACTAGAAGATAGACGACTATCAAAGCAAGATGAGAAGAACCAAGAGTTGGGGGTTGAAAACAGGAGGGATAAAAATAAATTTGGTAGTGGACAATAAGGATGAAAAAGTACAAGGAAGGGAATGCAAAGACGGGAAGGCATCCTTACCCCTGTCCACCCTGCTCGATGCAGAAGATAAGACATCGTTGATTATTCTCTGCGACGGTCAGCTCATCAAGAATTTGAAGAGGAGTTCTGATTGCCTAGACAAGGAAACGATTAGGGCTCTTAACCAAAGCCTTTGGTTTAAGAAATTAACTGCAATACATCGGGATTTTGCCACTGACCTACACAGAATCCGTTTCAGGGGATAAGGAGTCACGCCACCCTCACTCCGACCCTAACCTGGAGGGCTAAGAGAATGAGTTAGTCTGGCCTCTAACGATTGACCAGTCTGGTATGAGTGGTTTTGAAGGTGCAGAATGTGCCACTCAGCATAGCGCAGTGGATTACTGAGGCACGCAAGCCATCGTACCACGTTACTGTCTCGTCTCGTTGTGATGAACATTTTATCTGTCCCATATATTTAAGATAACCTCTAATTCGGATGGTGGACATATTCAGTTAATCTGGTAAGCTTTCAATACATGCCCGATGTTATTTCAGTTCAGCGCGCGTCGGAGTCGTTTCAGGTGGCCGATAATTGTATCGAATGGGGAAAACAAACATTCTCTCCACTTTCCGAATGCGATGGGCAACAATGAATACTGAATACTGAGAAAATACAGCGAGTAGAGATACCTTTCTGTTGCTCCATTTTATATCTTTTAAGCAGATCTTATTATGATGGCAGTTATTCTCGAAATCTGAAATCGGCGAACTGCGAATTCGGGGGTTTGTTAAACTCCGACATCGACTGCTTCGACTATGTCTGCAGGCAGCTTGTTCCAAAGATTCATCACCCTCCGCTCGAAGCAGAGTTGGTGAGTGATCTGCTTCAAATCCGGTAGGACAATCTTGTACCGGCGTCCTCGTGTGCTGCTTGGTGTGCACGAATGAAGCAGCTACCACAACATGTGGGAATCACTGAGATGTAATATCCGATGTGTTATGAAGAAGCCAACCCGCATTCAGCAATAAGACAGGGTGTACAACCCTAGTCTCTTGCACTGGTCTTAATATGGCACACCTCGTAAACTGGGGATGGGCCTTGTGGCCACATGCTGTATCCGCTCAACCCTTTGCACCTCGCTCCGGGTGAGCGGACAGTAGGCGGGTGAACTGTACTCTAGCGTTGGTCTGACGATAGAAGACGTGGGTGGTAACCACTTTGGACCAAGTACAGAAGTTGCGTTGGAGTGCCCAGAACATGCGAGTCCGTTTTGCTAAAACCTGTTCATGTTTTCAACGGTTTTCACATGGCATTGTGAGAGTACGCCGAGATCTTTGACGGATGGCGATGGGTTTAATTGTTGGCCGGCCAAATTGTAGACTCGACCATTGCCACGCTTGCCTAGGCTCATAAATATTGACTTGAACAGGCAGACGAACGTAAAATGAGTCAGCATTTGCAAAGAGCAACTCTTGAGGCTATTTCATATCGACGTAGGTCACGAGCGATTACTTGTTATCGGTTTACATCGACAAAATTAACGTCTTGATGTAAGAATTTGTTGGAACCATTTTAATTTCGTTCAAATGAGAAGCTGTTCGGAGCACTTTGTAAGTTCGTACCGACGTTTTGTTGCCAAGCCCTAGAGTTGGCATACGAGATGGGAATAATGCGTGGTAAGTCATCGGCATCTGCCATTACCATGCGATTTCCAAACCAAGACGCAGCGGAGTTTCGTGACCTAATTCGTCGCACCAAAACTCAGGCCCGGCGTAGTGAGTGTGAGTGTTTCTACCTGTGTCGTCTTTCTGCGAAGCCAGTGAAAGCTCTGATCCGAGTACGGCCGTGGGGGGTCACGTCTGTCTCGAATTGCGTGCGTCACTCGGCTGGCATGTTTTCCGTCATGGCGTACACGACGGCTAGGTTTCGCACAGGCGTTATCACGTAATCGTCTACTCGACGCTTGGAAACGATCCACAGCGAACGTTTCGTCGAGGTGCAGGCACAAGGCAATAATTACCAATCGTCCACTTACTGATTGTAAAACTTTGACTGACACGCCAGCACTCTGTTATAGCTCTGGGATCGCCTGCTGCTGCTTGGCCAATACATGCTCGTTAGCAACCCCTTCACATTTGTTCGCATCGCAGCCTTTAATCTCTACATTCCTTTCAGATGCTGATTTCGTCACACAGCTCGCTTTTTTCCGCCTTTTCATTTTCAATAATTGTCCCGGTAAATTAAGGGACTCGCTTGTTACAAACTATTTATTTCCTTCTCACAACAGGTTTTCTGATTGTGGTAATCGACGACATTGCGGCCAGCGTCCACACCGATTTGATAGTATCCGGAATTAGCGAGTTACAGTGTGTAGCAAGCTATACCATTCCTGATGAAATGATGTCAGATCCGCCGACACTAATTCACGTCTTTCAAAGGAGCTCTCTCCCGGCCAATCAACTCCGCCAGAAGCTTACTGAGCGTGTACGTCAATTCCAACATACAGAACGCCCGCCCCCAACTGAAGAATCATTGATCAATATCTGTAAAGAGCTCATTACAATCTTGAGTCAATGCTTAGCTGCTTATTCAAAAATACGCTTATTTGCGTGAGAACGAAGTCCACCACTCATCTGTTTCTCATAACCTACTTAGCAAACTAGAATTTCATAGATGCAAGCGAACGAATTCAGGCCCAGCTGCTTGCGAAGAATGGATCCACATCACATACCGGGAGCGTTATCTCCTAAACTAGTTGACGCTAGTTCCTCGTTTTGTCTTAAATTACTGTAGGCACATTATATCTGCATCCTGCAGCTTGGATTTTCCTAACCTAGAGTAGTTACTGGACTCACTCTTCGTCCTTCAAGTCTTTATAGAGACGCCTTAACAGCGGCTGTATTGAAGTGTGGAGAACATCACTTCGTGCTTGAGGCTGAGCTCACTGATGCTATGTCAGTCAGAGCATTGTTTGATCCTACCAGACGCAGCCGCGTTGCGTGCTGCAACCGACCCACGGCATTCATCCCAACGACCGTTGTGCATTGGTGCGACGTGTATATATGTGGTTACCTGAGCGCCTTAGCGGACGGTGTACTTCATGTGTTATGTGATACAGACTATTTAGCCGAATCTGCCTCTGACGTTGCAGTCGTGCCATCGGTATCCTTGCAATGTCGGGGCCAGTACGAATCGAAACAGACGTTTGACATACATAGGGACACTGCTAGTGTATTTTTCCAAATGTGTCTAAGCATCGCCAATTTTGACCCCATGCTCCTGAAGTATTAATACCCATCTAAGATGTGAGCTTGTCTCGAATGCTAGGGCACTCGACAGAAACTGGTGTCATCAAGACAAGCTACTGCATCTGAATTTAGCGTCGTCGCTGATAAGCGGCGGCAACACGGTTCCTTTTAGTATAACCATTATATTCAACATGTCTTGAGGCACTGAAATTCATTCAACCTGCGTTTGTCACCATCTGTAAAAACTTTATAACTAAATAAAGCTTCTATTCTCGGCAAACCGAGGCACGTTTTTACAGGCATCATCTTGACATAACAACGCGTGATCAAGAATGTGCGAAAATCCGACATGTTTGCCATAACAGTGTATTTTTGTGTAGGGGGGTATGCAAGCATGTAATTGTGTGTGTATGTAATGTTCAAATAAATAATTAGTTGGAAAATAAATCCAGCACAGAAACAATTGGTTTGTTATGAAGATTAGCTGCAGCCGAGATGTATGATGACAGATTGTTAGTAAATTGTAAGCGGTAAAATTATGGTGAGAAATCCAGGTCGCATGGGAATATCATACGTTCAGTTAACCACCTTATCTGCGCCATCTGCCGAAGCTCTTGATACCCATTATTTGTCTACCCTCATATGATTAACTATGCAACGCTCAATGTTTTTATTGCAAATCACATCATGGTATGGAAATTTACTGGTTCATTGTTTTCTCAAGCCATGTCTAAGTGGTTCCATTCCAAACCCCGCTGTGAAGATACCATCGTGCCCAAGTGTCCCACGATATACTCATTTGAGATATTAGACAATTAGATGTTGTGCAAGGCGCTTCTTGTAAATTTGCTAAAACAGTTTGCACACTCTTTCGAAAGCCGATGATAGAACAGGGAGCAGCGGAATTTACTACATGTGTTGGTTATGTGATAGCGTCAAGGGGGCATCAGGAAATGTATGATATTATCGTCTACTAACGCTTATAGCAAGACATCATGTACAATACACAGGAACCATAAGTCATCTGTGTTTTACGCTACATCTAGTTGTGCATCATTCTACCTGATAACCATACTCACGGCATTTGCTTCCGTATTTCCATATCTGTCTCAATCTATTGTTGATACCCACACTTCTGACTAAACTAAAGGCTGCCGTTTAGGTTAAAATCCAAACGCTAACAAACCACTGACAGTTGTATTGGTTACTTATAATTCTACGTGCGATTTTCTAAAACCAAAAGAATATAGCTGTTATTCTTTCATTCAATCCAAACTCATGCACGTAGGTAGTGATATGGTTGATGAGGGCTATTGTTTCTCCATCCAGTTTGTGGTAGTCCATACACAAGTGTGAACAAATACCCGTTCGCAACATTGCGGTACTGTAACTCGAACCAGGGACCTTTGGCATGTCAACTGATATCTCACGTTGAATGAATAAGTGGAAGCCATTTAGAAACACTTATAAGCACCACACTTCAGCATGACAGACTGATGGTATTTTCACTCGCGTAACACCATCATCTGCTGGATAGATGTCTAAATGGGACTCGTCTAAAGTACAAATCTGTCCGTGTCTCGATACATTCCCACAACGAGACTGGACCTTAACGTGGTGCGACGGTTTGCGTACCTCATTGACCCATTGAGCTATACTGGTTGATGCCTCCGGGCACCTTGAGAGCTACTCCTACCGGGTTGGTCAATGGTGAGAGGTCAGACAAACTGTCTCCTGGTCCTCCAGGTTGGGGATTTGAAATGGAATGGCGTCCATTTCTGTAAAACTAAATCATTGCCACCTTCCCGCTGCCTTGCGGACAGACTTTTGAGCCAAAGGCTTTGGATGAGGACCCTAATCGTTCTCCTGTGTAGGTCTGGGCGCCCTGGCAGTATCTCAGCCCACATACAACCATGACATCTTCAGACATAAACTTCATCCTGCATCGGCCGTCGCGCAGATTATCAAGGGTCGCCTTATCTGCTGCATCCAGCAGGGCGGATAAGCGAAAACATGCTACTGCTGGCATCTCCTTTCCTTTCCACCTTTTTCTATTACTCCCACCCCGACCCCCATTACTAACCTTCCTTCTATAATTCCCAGCTTAATTGACAACAACAGAAGTGCCACTGGAGTAGAACCATCTGCAGCCACCATCCCACCGCACCTATCTGCAAAAGTCCCTTATAAGGCCAAGCTATACCGTTTCCATGGCGACATTCAACGTTCACACTCTAAGACAAACAGGTCAACAGGCTGCACTCACACGCACCTTGGACACACTGGGTATTGATGTGTGTTGCGTGTCCGAAACTATCATCAATGAACCTAATGGAGTTGTTGAATTAACTGCACCCGGCTTATCCTCTCGTTATTGGTTGCACGCATCCGGAGACGCCGATGCAGCACTCACGGGTCAAGCTGGTGTAGGTATCATTCTCAGCTCCAATGCTGAGCCATCGTTAGTTGATTGGATTCCGGTGAACAGCCGTTTATGTGCAGCCGGTTTGACGACATCAGCTAAGGTTGATTCACGAGGCAGTAAAAAACGCTGTTTGTTTGTGATTCCCGCTTATGCTCCCACCGACTGCAGTTCTAATGCTGTCAAGGACACATTCTATCAGGAACTGAACGCGCTACTACGCAGTGCTACTAGTTCAGATATTATAGTACTTGTAGGGGATATGAACGCACAAGTAGGGCGTCTGAGCTCTTCTGAAGCTCAGCTGGGTGGTAATTATGGGCTTAACTCCGAACGGACTGACAATAGTGAGCGTCTGCTGCAGCTGTGTGCGGAGCACCAGTTGTTTCTTAGTAGCACTGCTTTTAGACACAATGGGCGCCGAAGTGCCACTTGGCGTCCTCCTGTAGCTGGCCAGCGATGGACCCAAATTGACCACCTAGCCATAAGTTATAGATGGCGTGGTTCCATCCTGGATTGCCGCTCATACTGGAGTACCTGCGTCGACTCTGATCATGCCCTGGTACGCTGTCGTTTTTCCATGAACTTTACCGGGAGGCGCACCAAGTGTCCCCTACGATTGGCAACGGAGAAATTGTCTCAGTCCTCGGTTAGGCAAGCCTATCAAGAAGCACTGCATACCGAACTTCTGCCATCTTGTCCTAATGACACTGAGCTTCAGTGGAATAGGATCTCGGCCGCCATGCATGACGCGGGAGCATCTGCTTGTGGCACTATCCATCGTCACCGCACCAGTCACTGGATATCCGAGAGGTCCGTAAACCTGTTGGAAGCTAGAAGACACCTCCCGACTGGCTCTGAACACAATGTGACCAGACGGGCTATTAGGCATGAACTAAAGCAAAGCCTACGTGCTGACAAGGAAGTCTGGTGGACCAGTCGGGCTCAAGAAATGGAGGAGGCAGGAGCAGTAGGCAATTACCGCAAGCTCTTCCAGCTAGTCCGCACCACTAGTCCCAGATAACCAGGCGTCAGTGAGACAATCAGAGACCACGCGGGTGCGCTGATACACAATAATGAGCGCCGTATGGCTCGTTGAGCGGAACACTTTCAAGATCAGTTCAGCTGACCCCATGCTCAAGGACCTCTTCCTACTCAGGTGATGCAGGACGAGCCATGGGCGGTTAGCTTAGAGCCTCCGTCGCAGGCCGAGGTCCGAAACGCGACCACAGCTCTTAATCGTTTTCGTGCCGCTGGCCCGGATTCCCTCCCACCTGCGCTATTTAAAGATGGAGGTGAGGTCCTCTGCAAAGCACTGACCACCTTATTTGAACGTATCTGGAAGGAAGAGTGTCCCGGCTAATTGGAGCGAATCGATTATAGTGGCAATATACAAAAAGGGCAGTCGCACAGACTGTGCGAACCACAGAGGTATTAGCCTAACGCCAGTTGCGACAAAATTACTGGCCTCGATTCTCGTTCGTCGCCTCACTGCAGAACGGGAATCTCGGATTAGGGAAGAACAGACCGGTTTCTGCCCAGCACGTGGCTGTATAGACCATATATTCAGTTTGCGGCAGATGCTAAAGCAGCGCCACGCATACCGCAGATCGACAATAGCTGTGTTTCTCGATTTCAAGAGTGCGTTCGATTCAGTCGATCGATCGATTCTGTTCGAAATATTTGCGCGGAAAGGCGTTCCCACGAAATATGTGAACATCCTTCGTGCTCTATACTCGAACGCTACAGGCCGCGTCAGGGTCTACGGTGTCCTCTCGGATAGCTTTCCGACCACAAGTAGTGTTTGTTAGGGTTGACCGATTTCCCCATTTTTGTTCAATTCCGTCGTGGATTCTATCATGGAATGTTCCCTTGCGGAATCTCACGATGTAGGCGTTGAAGTGGTGCCTGGTGAAAGACTAGTTGATCTAGATTATGCGGAC